GACTAACCACCTAGGAGATGTACCTGAGATCACCTTCATCATATATGTAGTTCCTTATAAAGAAAATAGACAAACACAAGATGACACCACATCCTTAGAACATAAAATACTTTCACATATATACTATCACATGTGAGTCCCTCACAGTGGAGGCAGTGGCCGCTATTATGTTACCCTACAACACTGAAGACCCCACACTGTATTCTTCCCCAAAGTACATATACCTCTGTAGTAACTGGTCCTGGTGAGCATTGGTTACTCTAGGTCCTAGTATCCTCACCTGTCAGAAGTGTCTGGAATTGGTTAGAGGGTTGGGTGTAAGGTTTGGTGCCCCATGAGTCTCCAAATGGCACTCCTGTGGCCAGAAGACAAGGATGACAATACCAGGCCCAGAATACTTGAATATTCTTTCATATACCCATTCTTCTAGAAAGCATTACCTAAGTGCCTACTATTCACTAGACACAGTGCCCACTCCAAGGAATAAGACAGTATGCTGCTCCTGGAGAAACACGGAACTAGATAAGCTCAGTATGAGGGCAGAGTCAGGACTAGACAAGGTTACATCAGAGTCCTGTGAGATCTCAGTGAGAATGGAGGAAGTGAATTCCGAGCTGAGCCCCCAACATCTAACCCATTAGCAAAGTTAGCTGGGTAAAGACAAAGGCCAGAGAGGCTCCAGGCTGAGAGGGCAGAGCTTCTCTCTGACATCATCTGTTGTTTATGATGTAACAATTCTATGACTTTACAAGCATCTAGGCTCTGCTTTGATCTCAGAACTTCCTTTCCTGCCACCCCACATTGCCATTTCTCCCAAAGTCTACATTTCAGGGACATATAGGCTTCATGGATAAGGCCCTAGAACCTGGCTGAGGACAGAGAAAGAAGGTAGGTCCAGATTGCCCATGTTCTTCTGGGCCACAGGCCATCATTTACCAGATCTCTCTCCCTCTCTCCCTCCCTCCCTCTCCTTCTCTCTCCCCTTTCTCCCTGTCTCCCCTCTCACTCTCCCCTCTCTCCCTCTCTCCCTCCCTAACCCCCCTCTCTGTGTGTGTGTGTCTTTATCCGTCTCCCTCCCCCAACACATCGTGATAGTGGACAGAGGCAAAATAGTTGGTGACCTCTTTAAACCTATTTGAAAATGAAGTTTTTCAAAACCCAAACACAAGGAAACATTGCCTGCACCCTCTGCTTGAGCTTAAGTTAGTAGCTGCTGTGATGTTCTTTGATTTGAAAAATCCAAGCCCACACTAATCAGCAGCTTGTCGGAGTGGGGAGGATGGGTCTTTGCCTTCTTTGAAGTCATTAACTACCTTCTGGGTTCATCCTCAGGGACATATGCTTGCCCTTTGAACCTTCAGTTCATGAGCTGCTATTTTTATTCTCGGTGCATACATAGCCAGGGCTTCTAATACCAGCTCCTGCATCAACAATGCCCAAGGCATCATACTATATCACCAACACCTTGTCCACAGCTGGACCAGAGCTGTAGGAGGGTATTGGTTGGTAGGTTGAACAAGGAGAGGAGGGAGGTATAAGTACAAAAGAGAAAGATCCTTTCTGGAATGTGGAAAGGTGGATGATGGAAGCTGTTTGTATTTTCTTAACCTGGATATCCCTGAGAACAGTGTTATACCTGCTAGAGAGTAGCAGAAACAGCCTGTCTTGGCAGGCCAGTAGCCCTCCAGAGAAACAGATGGAGTTATTTCCAGGCAATATTGGCTGAGAGCTATTATGGTAAGGAAGGTGGAAGTGAGACTTTGTCCAGTGGTTTCTTTCTTTTTTGCTCCAGAAATACTTCAGTTATTGCCTCCACCTGCACTCTGGCCTGGCCTGCATGCCATTTAGTTTCTCATATCTGTTTCCAGAAACAAGGAGGCCCCAGAAAAGAACCTGCAAATTTCCCTGTTGCTTCTGTGTCCTGAGGACAGGTGGGTACTGGATAGTAGGCCAGGAGATGCCCTGCCATCATTCCTCTAGTAGCATTACCAGAGCCACTTCAGGCTGCACTCCCCAAGAACAGAAACTCCAGTGAGGATGAGTTAGAATAGAGCCCCAGTAGAGAATCTAGACTGATGACAGATTCATGAATTTGTTGGAAAACACCTGGCCTCTACTTTGAATAGGTCTTATTCTCAAGTAGTCTTTGCTGCAGTCCTCCTCAGGTACACCATGTATTCCATACTGAAGCGGAGGCTATGGTGATTCTTCTTGCCAGAAATCAAGATACAGAGAGGATACCTGGGACTTGCCTGGAATTCTAATTCCAGTCTCAGTGTACCCTTAAGCTGGCTATTTGACTTCACTATGGAATTAATTTTCCTGTTGACAAAATGGGCATGATTCTAGTCCTCTGGAAAGGTCATCTCAAGGACTGAGTCATGCAATGGAAGTTCTCAGCAGAGGGTGGAACAAAGCAAATTTGCAACTGCCCCATATCTTGCTGTCTATGGGAGGTACCCAACCCTGGAAAGGTTTCCCTCTTCATGGCCTGATCAGGACCATGCTGCAGAAGATAGCAGGCCTGTTGGGGTGGAGGTCTCTGGGAAGTACCCTATCCGGGCAAGGTCCCTTTCTCACACCCTGATCAGGAGAATTCTGAAAGAGGTAGCAGGCCTAGATCAGAGCCAGGTAGAGGGAACAAGGGAGGTGTTCCAAAAAAACTGTGAGGGTTAGTACTTGAGCTGAACATATGTGCAAGTGACAGGTGAAGGGCCATCCAGAAAGTTGTCTTCTTTCCTTTTGAAGTGGGTGATGGGAAGCTGAAAGAACACAGGAGGGAGACTACCACTTATGGAAGTGGACACAGTCATCATGAGGAAGTACAGAAAACTCAAAGGTGGCACAGAACATGTCTTGATTTCTACTAAGTTACCTCTTAGTCATCAGACTTGGAGGGTTAGCCATGGGCATCCATGACAGTTGCTGCCCTTGTTCTCACCAGTCGCAACTAAGTTTCTCTTCCTCTTTTCCTCATCCTTTCCCGGGAGTTCTAGACACTGTAAGGGACCAGTTGGACCTTTGTGGAGGAAATCTTAGAATCATAGAGCCTTCACAGGACCATGTGCCTGTACCACAAATGTTTATCCTGCTATTGCTGCTGCTTCTTCTGGTGTGTTGTTTTCCCCTGTTTATGATACAAGTCTTGTCTGGTAGAAGATGTACAGCTTCACTAGACTATAATCTTCATGAAAATAGAAGTCTCATCTCTCACTCATAGCTTAAAATCTAGTCGTCAGAACTCAGTAAACATATACAAAGTTAATTGGTTACATAAGTGAATGAATGTATGCCTTTGAGAATGACTGTCATTTTGAAAGTATCTTGTTTTCTGGGCTGAATTAAGGAGCAGTCTTCTCAAGAAGAACTAAGCCCTTTGGCTAGGTTATGTGTGCTCAGCCTTTCTAGAAGCAGGCTGCCTCCCAGCTGTCCTAAGGAGATTTCTTGCCAATGTACTGGGTCAACTTGTAGTTTCCAGAGGGCATATTGCCCACAGGGACACAGGCTCTAGAGTCCTCCCTTAGAATTACTGCAATATGTCTTGCCAGAAGCATGACACATGAGTTATACTCCACAGAGCTGTTTGCACAGCATCATTCATTTTGCCCCCCTCCTTCCTCAAAGCAACTCCTTATTCTGTGCATTTGACATGTTTTGATGGCTTGAAAATGCCATGGAATTGTTCATTTGTTAAAGCAGCATTCCTGTTATAAGACTGTATTTCTAACACCACGATGTGCTGGATTACCTCTCTCTCTTATTTGAGACCTTGTGATGACAGTTTAGGGTGAGAAGAAAAAGACATGATAACCACAGGACTAAAGTCTACATAGGTAGGACCGGTGAGGTCAAGAATCTGTTTTGCCTCAGGCTTGCCCAGTGAAATTAAGGGTTATTGAATTATTATTAAGCCCAATCACACTCCAGGGCTGCACAGATCCCTGAGTTAGACATGGTGCCTGCCTTCTCCATGGTAACGAAGCTAAATATGGACACGTTTCCACGGAGAGACATACTGCAGCTGCAGCCCTGCTTCCTCCAGGAAGCATCCTCTCTGGGCTTCTTTGCCCCCTAGGAAGTGGCTGTCAGTGTTCAGGAGGTATCTAAGACATCAAGACCATGTCTTTCACTTTTGAGAATTTTTTTCCAACAGATATTTCATTTCTCAGCACTCCTTTCTCTTGGTAATTACATGCTGGGAGAGGCCAAAGGTCAGAAAGATGGACATGTGAACCTGATAGGCTCAATGACCATTCATAAAAGCCATTTCATCTTCTCTTTGCCCTGAGGAGTGGGGTTTCTTGTTATCAGAGCAAAGGGAATGTGATTGGCTAGAGGGAGATAGCGAGACAAGTATGATGAGCCTTGGGTAAATATACTGCTCTTTCAAACTCCAAACCTATTAGAAAAATGATTTCTACAGAGCTTTTGAAATGCTTTCTGAAATTTCCCATAATTTTAATATAATCTCCTGATTATATCTACAAAGAGTTTTTAGTGTGTCATACTATAGTCATAGAATATTCAGATGTGACAAGGTTTTATATTTCCGTAAGGGGAAGTAAGTCTACTTATTGCCTTTTCAAATTTGAACTCGTTAGATTTAATCTCTGCATTTCCTAACTGTCTGACAGAGCATTGTGGAACGAAAACTTTGTTTTTGTTGAAAGATCAAAATATAAGCTGAGTATTAGGCTTTAAAATACCCTGTTTAACATCACCTGGCTATTTAGAGATTACATCATGTGTGTTTATAACTTAATCACCTGTAAATTGGGTTTTATAAGCACAGCTGATCATATGTGCGTGTTCGTGTATATTAGGAAATATCTATAATGGGTATGTATACACAGGGAGCTGGGTTGTGCTGCCCAGTTCACTAAGCTATGGAAACTATTTTGAGACTGGAGATATCTTATAAGGCAATTATAAATAGTCTCTTAAGAAAGATTCTTATCGTGTGCTCTGTGTTGCAGGCCACGTGGCACCAGAGAAAAGTGATGGATGACCTGCAGTCCCAGAACCTCTCCATGGACATGACTGACTCCCCTCCCACTTTGGCCAATAACAGACTGGAGAATGGTATGGCCCAGCTGATAACTACTGAGGCCTGGAACATCAATTCCACTGATCTGGTAAAGAAGGCCCTGGTGACCGTGCCGGCTCCATCCATTCTGAACCCCCCAGCTGAGTCTCAGAGTGGAATGGCTCTGAAGGTGGCAGCCACAGTGCTGCAGCCCCTGTGCCTTGGGGAAAGCCCAGTGGTGATGCCCATTCACATGCAGGTGGAGGGAAGCTCTGCACCAGAGCTTAACCCCAACAGCAATGCCACCTACGTTATGACGACACAAGGTCCCGTGCAGCTGCCAGTGGTGCTGGAGCAGCATGTTTTCCAGCACCTCAACTCCCCTCTGGTCCTGCCACAGGAGGCCCCATGCTCCTCAAATGCTATACACAACAACCTCTTCCAGGGGGCCGAGGACTCCGAGGCCCAGCCTCAACTTCTGGACCTGAGGATCCCAAGCCAGCCGCAGGAGCCCACATTGCCATTTGAAGCTGTGCTCCAGAATTTATTCCCCACCCAAGGCTCTCTGGGCCCTCCACCTTGCCAGCCTCCTCCTGGCTATGCTCCAGTGCCTCCGCAGCCCTTTAATTCTCCCTTGTCCCCCCTAGTCCCACCAGCTACCCTCTTGGTGCCCTATCCTGTGATTGTCCCCTTGCCAGTGCCAGTGCCCATCCCCATCCCTGTCCCAGTGCCTCAGAGTTCTGAATCCAAGTTCGGCCCCAGTTTCTCCAAGCCACCATCTTCCTTCAATCTGCACTCCTTTAAAGGCACCCAGACTACCCTGGAAAAAGATGAACTGAAATCCTTAGACATCCTCCAGCCAAAGGAGTATTTCCAGCTCAGCCGCCACACAGTTATCAAGATGGGGAATGAGAATGAGGCCCTGGATCTCTCCATGAAGTCAGTGCCCTGGAGCAAAGCTGGCGAAGCTAGCTCCCCAATCTTCCAAGAGGATGCAGCCCTAGACCTATCTCTGGCAGCCCACCGAAAGGCCGAGGCTCCCCCAGAGACACCGTATGACAGCAGTGGGTCAGCAGACAGCCAGGGTCACACTGTGCTGGAGAAACTTCCCAGTGCTATGGAAATGCCCTTTGCCCCTGCCAAGTCTCGTGAGGCCTCGGCCATGATGGATAGCCATATCAGCGGCAACAATGGCACTGAAATGGTCAACCAGCCCAGCCAGCCCAGCCAGCCCGGCAGTGGGGTGAAGGCTGAAAATAACATTGAGATTATAAGTGAGTCCCAGGCAGCCAAGGTCATTGTCTCAGTTGACGACACTGTGCCTACCATCTTCTGTGGCAAGATTAAAGGCCTCTCAGGGGTATCCACCAAAAACTTCTCCTTCAAAAGAGAAGACTCTGTGCTTCAGGGTTATGACATCAACAGCCAAGGAGAAGAATCCCTGGGAAAGGGAGAGCCCTTTAGGAAACCCATCAAAAACCGGAGCATAAAGTTAAAGAAAGTGAACTCCCAGGAAATACACATGCTCCCAATTAAAAAACAACGGCTGGCCACCTTTTTCCCAAGAAAGTAAATAAAGGCTTTTAAAACATTTTTATGATTATGACATGGGGAAAGGTACATTGGTTTTTTAAAAAGTCATCTAAAACAAAATATCTTTGTTAATTATTTTGGGGCACAGGTGGGAGGCAGAAAGGCAAATTAGCTAGAACCATTTTCTTTTTTAATTTTTGACTTTTCACAAATGAGTAAATAAGAGCAACCTATTTTTCAAGCAGATTGCACATTTTTTTGCAGCTTTAATGAAATATTGGGTCAATCAGAGGGGTAAAAGCTATTTTCATTGCCACAAAGTGCTTTGATGATGTAATACCTAATAAAGGGTAGGATGAATATTTCACAATAAATGTTTGTTTGCACTAATTGGTTGCAGTATTCTGTCATTTGTAAAATTTATATTTCTCAACTGGCATGGCTGGCCTAAACTCTTGCTTGTAAAGAGCTCTAATTTATTACTGTTTAGAGACCTAAGCTCTTCAGGCACGTTGGGAAATATTGCCTTGTGCCCCAGAGAAGTAGGATTCAGTGTGTGTATGGCCTCTAGCAAGTCATCTTTTCCTCTGGGCCTTTTTTGTGGCAAAGGAGTTAGGAGGAAGCAGAGTGGTGAGTTTCAAGTACTCAGGCCTCTTTCAGTTCACTTAGTTCTTGAGTGTTTTCTTCTCTGACTTCCAGCATGCTAAAAACAAATGGCTATAAAAGAAAAACAAAAGGTGCCTTTGCTTGGCATGGTGGCTGGTCCGTGCCCACTCTGGAGTGGGCTTACCACTTACCACTCTGGAGGCTGAGGCTAGAGGGTTGTAAGCTGAAAGGCAGCCTGGGCTTCATAGCAGGATCCCACCCCCCAATAAAAAAATATGCTGCTTCTCTCCCAGGACCTCAGAGTTTAGCTGGAAATGGCAACCCTTTGGCAAGGCAATAAGAGCATTATTCTTAATGATTTGAAAATATTGTGAGTCAAATGTTGCAGGCCACTCAGAATCAGGGAAGTCAACTTCATATGATTTTAGACTGCAGGAAAGAGAAAGTCAGTCTTTGTTGGATTAGCTCAGTCATTCTCAAATGAGGGTGATTGTGTACCTCCCCCCAAAACCACCACTACCACCAGGGGACGTCTAGCAATGTCTGGCACTGCTTAAGGATGATTTTGGCTGTCACAACTGGGGGAGGGGCTTCCTAGAGTCATCTAGGAGGTAGACCAGGGACACTGCTACTGCCGAACGTCTTGTGATGCACAAGATAGCCCCACCCCAAAGAATGACCTGAGCCACAATGACAACCATGCTGAGGCTTCGAAGCCCTGGCTAAGCCACTTCTTGATGGATGGAAGCAATGCACTTGGAAGGCGAGAACAGTGTGTTGCTCTTCTGTGACAACATAAAGCCACCCACAGAAACAAGGAACTGTGAGCAAGTGTCTAAAATAGACCTGTTAGGCGGCACATCGCACTTGTGTCTGAAACTGTGCTGGCGAGAGACTGATCAGAGCATGCCTGCTTTAAAACTTAAAGCACTTTCTTTCACTTTTTGCAATTAGTATGTATCCAGCTGTTACTGTGAACATGAACAGGAGGAAAAGCAGTTGTAAGACTGTTCTTTTATTACCAGTCCCTCTGTGAATAGGGATACAGTTTTAGCTGGTCCTGTATCATACAACTGGAGTGGATTTTTCTCTTTCCTGCACTTTTGCTGTGGTATTAGCATTTCTTTTTGCAAAGTGTGACCAAATAGCTGGTCAACTGGCCAGTCTCATTCTACAACAGCTAGATACCATCTCTTCAGGCTCTATATGGTATAGTCTTTTCCTGTTTTTTTTTTCTTCCAGTGAGAATTTCTGGCCATGTTTCCTAAGCACAGAATGCATTATGGCTTCAAATCAAATAGACGTGTACCTAGAGACTAGTGTTTCCCATTTGTTTGCTATTGTGTCTCCCTAGGCTTTGGGTAGTTTCTGTTGCCATGTAGCATGGCATAGACTTTCTCTTCTAACCAGGAGGGCCCATATATTCACAATGGATTTGAACTGGTTAACTAGATTTGGGGAACAAAGCTTACAATTTGCTGTTAGAAGCAAGTCCTCAAAGCACAAGTTGTAAAGAAGGCATTTGTAGACTGCAATTACCTTAAGAACCTCAAACCACAAATTTCTCTTGGTTATGAGAGGATTCCCTTCTGTCTTCAGATGAAAGCTTTGCTTTGGTGAGGAAGAGCTAGTCCATCTCTAGGCTTTGAGATGACGGGAGCCCTGGTTCAATTCCTGAAACAGGCCTTGCCCAACTGAGCCACACCTGGTATGTGATCCTTGTTATTCATTTCAAGGGGGAGGTGGGGGAAGTGTGTATTGTTGTAGATGCTTGTGGTAGCATTGGAAGACTTGACCATTGAGATCCATGCACAGAGTATTTACTGTGCTGTGCTACTGAGGCAGGAACATTCGCTGCTTGCTTTTGTTCCCAGCCTTTGATGAAATCCATTTTGTTACCTGCTGGCCAGGGAATCAGGAAAAAGGAGAGGGCCAATATTTGTAGCCAGACTAAGCCCAATTGAGTTAATTCAATATCCCTTCCCAAGTCAGAAGTTAACAAATTTTCACATTAGCCTTTGGGGCTAGCAACCTGGAACTCTGGTTCCTTGTTTGAGGAATCTGATCCCCATGGGGCTTACCAAGTGGGGCGCCAGCAAATGCTCCAGCCACGTCATTTTTCTGCTCAGTTCATCCCTATAGCCAGCCTTGTGTGCACCCATCACTACTGTAGCCAGACAACCTACTTTCAGGTTTCAGTCATGAAAGATTTCCATCAGCTTTCCCCACTGACTTCATTTTCCATCTCTTCTCACAAATATTTTGGGTCAAATGGCAGAACGATCAGCTTTTTGGTTTTGTGGTTTGCTAAAAAAAACAAACAAACAAACAAACAGGATTACAGCCGGGCGATGGTGGCACACGCCTTTAATCCCAGCACTCAGGAGGCAGAGGCAAGAAGATCTCTGTGAGTTCGAGACCAGCCTAGTCTACAAGAGCTAGTTCCAGGACAGCCTCCAAAGCCACAGGGAAACCCTGCCTCGAAAAATAAAAATAAAAAACATGACTAGTCCTTGGGAATGTTGATATTTGCTAATACTTGCCAAGGTGGCTTCGGGTGGCTTCAGTTCAGAACTGACTTTTAAAAAGATCACAAAGGTCATATTTGGGGGCAGAAATCCCCCTGTAGGGAAAAACTTAATTGATCCAAAAGATAAAAATGTAAAGAGGTTACACTTACTATCTCTCCTTTCACCAAAGGAAGCCCTTGCCAATAAACAGGAAATTCTAAAATGTGGTCAAAAAGTTTTGTTAAGACTTAAAGGCAAAACTGTCACAGTTTAAGCATGAAAGTAAGTCTTCAATGCTGAAAACTCCAACAAAAGAGGGGGGAGACAGAAAGGAAAGGAGGAGCAAAGGAGAGAAGGAACTAAGAAGATGAAAGGGGAAGAAGAGAGTCTGTTGCTGAGAAAATATGTCAATATCCTCATTATCTTCATAAACAGCATAATTAATAAAACAGCAGGAAATGATTTAGATTCCATTTTACAAGGGAGAAAATAGAGGCTCAGTAGAGTTTTCTGCTTTCAGTTTTGAAGCATCAACAACTCAAAAATATGTACTTTGGGGTTACTCTTAAATATTGGGCCTTAAACCCAATGAACCCACAGGAATTTGGACTCTTTGGAGACAAAACCCAGCATGAATTAGTGATGATTCTGAATTACAGATTCTTTTTCAATCATTCTAGAGACTATTCCAGGGAACTGGAATGCTTGGAGCATTTGGCACAATAGCCAAGGGGAGACTTCAAGCTGAAGGGTGGAGATGCCAAGCTTCTAAAAGCCACACTTAAAAGCTGCTAAGCTGAAAACTTTAACAGCAGGAAAAAAGTGTTAGAGGTCATTCTGGCAGACTTTACTCCTCATTAAATGTAAAAGGCAGTTTTCCACAATGCTCACTTCCACCAGGTCAAATAACTGACCTCCCACGCCAGTGAGACAAAGCAGGGCATATTAGAAGCCCTTAGGGTACCATCACAATAAATCCATCATTTAGTCAATTAACATATTGGTAGATTTGACACTGGATAGAGCATGTGAATGCTTTAAAGATTTAAATATTGCAAAGAATCTGCCTGTCATTGTTATAGACCCAGAAATTTCTAAGCTAAGTGAGATATTAGTTATGTGCTGCTAGGATTATGAGTAATTGCAAGTTAAAAGAGATGAACTACTGAAGATTACCATACTAATTTAACATGTAGACTATTTCTCACTCAATTCTATCCTATATGTACATGCAAAAAAAAACTAGACTCCCTCTACTGACAAAGACAGTAAAAGTCACTTGGAAACACTCCCTTCTCTGCTACTTTTCAAAGCTAAGTTTTACTAAGCCAATTAAGAAAGTGACATATCCTTACCACCTTAATAACATCATGGGGTTTTCTTTATGGTCACTTCGATTAGAGCCTTTGACTTTTCCCTCAGACACATTTCAGGGGGTATGAAAAGGTACCACAGTGGGCAGACGGAAGTCCTAGAGAGCAGGAATTGAGGCTTATTTCAAGGTTTCTGTTGTTGAAGAGGCAGGAGGATATTCAGCAGTGTTTTTACGCCTTCCCACAAGATGGCAAAAAGCTCTCTAGATGTTGCCAAGTCGCCCCAAATCTAGAACCTCTGCTTTTTTTCCCTAGAGGCTGGACACCTGAGCCATAGTGAAAAGCTCAAAACACCCTTACCAAATGCGTGTACTCAACCAGTCAGGAAGATGGATATGGAGCTGTGTTCTCTGATGTACCACTCTTATTTTCTGGTTTCCTACCATAAGGCTCATCTAAACAGGAAAAGACTCCATAGTATAGCTGTTTCCCTACTCAAAGGGGTGTCACTCACCCATCATATTATAAATGAAGCTTCTCCCCAGCAAAGAAATCTCAGCAGGGATACTCCACTTTACAAGAAGAGCAGACTCTGGCAATCCTCATGGGAA